ATACACTCTTGAAGTCATTCTGTTTCGCTCCATTCTCTCTACATGTCCGAACCACCTCAACAACCCTTCCTCAGCCCTCTGGACAACAGTTTTGGTAATCCCGCACCTCCTCCTAACTTCCAAACTACGAATTCTCTGCATTATATTCACACCACACATTGCCCTCAGACATGACATCTCCACTGCCTCCAGCCTTCTCCTCGCTGCAACATTCATCACCCACGCTTCACACCCATATAAGAGCGTTGGTAAAACTATACTCTATACATTCCCCTCTTTGCCTCCAAGGACAAAGTTCTTTGTCTCCACAGACTCCTAAGTGCACCACTCACTCTTTTTCCCTCATCAATTCTATGATTCACCTCATCTTTCATAGACCCATCCGCTGACACGTCCACTCCCAAATATCTGAATACGTTCACCTCCTCCATACTCTCTCCCTCCAATCTGATATTCAATCTTTCATCACCTAATCTTTTTGTTATCCTCATAACCTTACTCTTTCCTGTATTCACCTTTAATTTTCTTCTTTTGCACACCCTACCAAATTCATCCACCAATCTCTGCAACTTCTCTTCAGAATCTCCCAAGAGCACAGTGTCATCAGCAAAGAGCAGCTGTGACAACTCCCACTTTGTGTGTGATTCTTTATCTTTTAACTCCACGCCTCTTGCCAAGACCCTCGCATTTACTTCTCTTACAACCCCATCTATAAATATATTAAACAACCACGGTGACATCACACATCCTTGTCTAAGGCCTACTTTTACTGGGAAAAAATTCCCCTCTTTCCTACATACTCTAACTTGAGCCTCACTATCCTCGTAAAAAACTCTTCACTGCTTTCAGTAACCTACCTCCTACACCATACACTTGCAACATCTGCCACATTGCCCCCCTATCCACCCTGTCATACGCCTTTTCCAAATCCATAAATGCCACAAAGACCTCTTTAGCCTTATCTAAATACTGTTCACTTATATGTTTCACTGTAAACACACTGGTCCACACACCCCCTACCTTTCCTAAAGCCTCCTTGTTCATCTGCTATCCTATTCTCTGTCTTACTCTTAATTCTTTCAATTATAACTCTACCATACACTTTACCAGGTACACTCAACAGACTTATCCCCTATAATTTTTGCACTCTCTTTTATCCCCTTTGCCTTTATACAAAGGAACTATGCATGCTCTCTGCCAATCCCTAGGTACCTTACCCTCTTCCATACATTTATTAAATAATTGCACCAACCACTCCAAAACTATATCCCCACCTGCTTTTAACATTTCTATCTTTATCCCATCAATCCCGGCTGCCTTACCCCCTTTCATTTTACCTACTGCCTCACGAACTTCCCCACACTCACAACTGACTCTTCCTCACTCCTACAAGATGTTATTCCTCCTTGCCCTATACACGAAATCACAGCTTCCCTATCTTCATCAACATTTAACAATTCCTCAAAATATTCCTTCCATCTTCCCAATACCTCTAACTCTCCATTTAATAACTCTCTCTCCTATTTTTAACTGACAAATCCATTTGTTCTCTAGGCTTTCTTAACTTGTTAATCTCACTCCAAAACTTTTTCTTATTTTCAACAAAATTTGTTGATAACATCTCACCCACTCTCTCATTTGCTCTCTTTTTACATTGCTTCACCACTCTCTCTTAACTTCTCTCTTTTTCTCCATATACTCTTCCCTCCTTGCATCACTTCTACTTTGTAAAAAACTTCTCATATGCTAACTTTTTCTCCCTTACTACTCTCTTTACATCATCATTCCACCAATCGCTCCTCTTCCCTCCTGCACCCACTTTCCTGTAACCACAAACTTCTGCTGAACACTCTAACACTACATTTTTAAACCTACCCCATACCTCTTCGACCCCATTGCCTATGCTCTCATTAGCCCATCTATCCTCCAATAGCTGTTTATATCTTACCCTAACTGCCTCCTCTTTTAGTTTATAAACCTTTACCTCTCTCTTCCCTGATGCTTCTATTCTCCTTGTATCCCATCTACCTTTTACTCTCAGTGTAGCTACAACTAGAAAGTGATCTGATATATCTGTGGCCCCTCTATAAACATGTACATCCTGAAGTCTACTCAACAGTCTTTTATCTACCAATACATAATCCAACAAACTACTGTCATTTCGCCCTACATCATATCGTGTATACTTATTTATCCTCTTTTTCTTAAAATATGTATTACCTATAACTAAACCCCTTTCTATACAAAGTTCAATCAAAGGGCTCCCATTATCATTTACACCTGGCACCCCAAACTTACCTACCACACCCTCTCTAAAAGTTTCTCCTACTTTAGCATTCAAGTCCCCTACCACAATTACTCTCTCACTTGGTTCAAAGGCTCCTATACATTCACTTAACATATAAAATATATATTTATATATATATATATTATATATTATATATATTTGTGTGTGTGTGTGTGTGTGTGTGTGTGTGTGTGTGTGTGTGTGTGTGTGTGTGTGTGTGTGTGTGTGTTTTTCCCTGTGATAAAATATTTAATGGTCAGGTTTCATAGAATTTTAAAATAGTATTAATTAACACAGTTTACTAAAGCATTAATGATTCATCAACTGTCCTGTATCAGACACAAGGAAAAGGATAATAAAAACTCATTTGTTATATTCTGGTAATAATGTCAATAAAATATTGCTGAAACTGCTTTTGTTATGCTATAATTTTATGTCGATGTTAATTAGTAGAAAAAAATATTCCGTCAGAAATAAAGAAACAAATTTCATTACTGTTCTTTTCATTATTATTATTATTATTATTATTATTATTATTATTATTATTATTATTATTATTATTATTATTATTATTATTATTATTATTTGTAGTAATAAAAACAGAAGTCGTCGGAGCATATCTACACCCATCCCTGCCATTCACCCCCCCTCTCCCCTGCCATCCACCATCCTCCTGGCATCCACCTCCCACCCTCCTACCCTCAAACCATCCATACTTCATGCTATCCACCTCCCTCCCCTCTCCTACCTTTCATCTATTGCTTCCGATATTCCCAGTTGATGGCCCAGAGTCACGTTTGCCTCTGTAATTACTGAGAAGTGAATATGAGGAAGGAGGATAATAATTATAATGATAATAATAGTAATAATAATAATAATAACAATAATAATAATAATAATAATAATAATAATAATAATAATAATAATAATAGTAATATTAATAATAACAATAACAATAATAATAAATTATTATTATTATTATTATTATTATTATTATTATTATTATTATTATTATTATTATTATTATTTGTAGAATTAGTATCAATTGTAGTAATAGTGCAGTAGTAGCGGAAGAAATAGTAGCAGTAGTAATAGTAGTAGTAGTTGCTGTTGTTACAGTAGTACAGTAGTGGTAGGCTCCACAAGAATGTATAGAACCGAAGAGGCATCACCACAAGCACCAAGATCAAGGTGTACAGAGCCATAGTCCTCACCACACTTCTCTATGGCTGCGAAACCTGGACTGTCTACAAACGTCACGCCAGAAAGTTGAACCACTTTCACACCACACGGCTCAGAAAAATTCTCGGCATCAAATGGCAAGATAAGATCCCAGACACAGAAGTGCTGACTACAGCTGGCCTGCCTAGCATCTACACCATCCTAATGCAGACACAGCTTCGCTGGGCAGGTCACGTTGCTCGCATGCCAGACCACCGGCTGCCAAAGAAACTCTTGTTTGGCGAACTGCAGAATGGAAAGCGCTCTCAAGGAGGCCAAAAGAAGCGCTACAAGGACACCCTTAAGACTGCTCTGAAAGCTTTCAACATCAACCACACCATGTGGGAGCTGATAGCTCAGGACAGGAATGACTGGCGAGCAGTTGTCCAGAAAGGGGCAACATCCTGCGAGGCAAGCAGAGCTGAGCAGCGCAGGCAGGCGAGGAAGACCAGAGCCATCAGACCCCTCGATGCCGCCACCCTTCCCTGTCCACACTGCCAGAGAACGTTTTCGTGCGCGGATTGGCCTGACAAGTCATCTGCGTACCCACCAACTTCGACCCCAGGATGACTAGATGGTCCTCGTCGAATCGACGGACAAAACAACACACCACACTCACACACACAGTAGTAGTAGCAATAATAGTAGTAGTAGTAGTAACAGTAGGAACAGTGGTCGTGGTGGTGGTGTTTGTAGCATTATGGTTGTTTGATTATTATTGTTATTATTATAGATTTGTTTTATTTATGTTAAACTCTTATCCTGTTTGAATCATTTAGGGCAAGGAATGATGGAGGATTGATCCTCCTTCCGCTGATAGCGAACTGGTCTTTGACCATCCAGGCTGTTGGTAAGAGTAAGTGGAATGTAATGCAAATATGAGGCTATCAGGGTAGAATGGCGATCATGTTATTGAAGAACGATGTTAACATTGAGGGGGTATGATAACAATATTAAAAAAGAATGATAATAATACTGGGGAAGAACGTTGATAATTGGGAAGAATGATGTTGATACGAGGAAAGAATGACGATAACATTGAGGAAGAATTTATAATAATATTAGGGAAAGTCTGTTGATAATTTTAGGGAAGAATGATAATATTAGAGCAGATGATAATAATATTAGGGAGGAACAGTGATATCATTTGGTAAGAGTGACGGTAATATTATGTAAAAATGAAAGTGTTAACTGAGTGTGTGGATGGTACAGTAGATTCTTACTGAATTCATGGTACTCTCTCCATGGTACTGCCTTCATGGTACTATCTCCATGGTACTGTCTCATTAGTACTGTCTCCATATCACTGTCTCCATAGCACTGTCTCCATGGTACTGCCTTCGTGGTATTATCTCCATGGTACTGTCTCATTAGTACTGTCTCCATAGTACTGTCTCCGTAGTACTGTCTCCATGGTACTGCCTTCATGGTACTGCCTCGATGATGTGAAATGATACTATCTCCTTCAGAATCACCTCCATCTCTCCTTTAGGGTCGCCGTGGCGGGACAAGATCTCTCTGGCCATCTTAGAACTGCAGGAGAAGGGTGTGATCCAGGTGTTGTATAACCGCTGGTGGAAGAACACCGGCAACACCTGCAACAGGGAAGACAACAACAAGGAAAGCAAGGCTTCAGCCCTCGGCGTCGACAACATTGGTAAGGTGGAGATATTACCTGCCGTGTATGTGTACTCACCTATTTGTACTCGCCTATCTGTGGTTACAGGGGTCGATTCATAGCTCCTGGCCCCGCCTCTTCACTGATTGCTACTGGGTCCTCTCTCTTCCTGCTATGTGAGCTATATCAAACCTCGTCTTAAAATTATGTATGGTTCCCGCCTCCACTACGTCACTTTCTAGGTTTTTCCACTTCCTGACAACTCTGTGACTGAAGAAATACTTCCTAACATCCTTTGGACTCATCTGAGTCTTCAACTTCCAATCCCTTGTTTCTGTGTCCCATCTCTGGAACATCCTGTCTTTGTCCACCTTGTTTATTCCGCGTAGTATTTTATATGTCGTTATCATGTCTCCTATCGGAACGCTATCCTTAGGTTTGCCAGACGACCGTACGCTGCAGCAGTTATCTGATTGATGTGTGCCTCAGGAGATGTGCTCGTTATTATACTCGCCCCAAGATCTTTTTCCTTGAGTGAGGTTTACAGTCTTTGGCCACCTAGACTATACTGCATCTGCGGTCTTCTTTGCCCTTCCCCGATCTTCAAGACCTTGCATTTGGCAGGATTAAATTCAAGGAGCCAGTTGCTGGACCAGGCTTGTAGCTTGTCCAGATCTCTTTGTAGTCCTGCCTGATTCTCGACCGATTTGATTCTCCTCATTAATTTCATATCAACTTCAAACAAGGACACTTATGACTCTATCCCTTCCGTTATGTCATTCACATATACCAAAAACAGCAGAGGTCCTACGACTGACCCTTGTGGAACCCCGCTTGTCACAGGCGCCCATTCTGACACCTCGTCACGTACCATGACACGTTGTTGCCTCCCTGTCAGGTATTATCTGATTCATTGCAGTGCCTTTCCTGTTATGTGTGCCTGATCCTCTAGCTTTTGCAGTAACCTCTTGTGATGAACTGTGTCGAAGGCCTTCTTGCAGTCCAAGAAAATGCAGTCTATCCCCCTCTCTCTCTCTTGTCTCCTTGCCATAAAACTCCAGTAGACACAGGATTTTCCTTCCCTGAAACCGTGCTGGTTGTCAGTTATACACTTGTTTCTTTCCAGGTGCTCCACCACTCTCCTCCTGATGATCTTCTCCATGACTTTGCATACTATACACGTTAGTGACACAGGTCTGTAGTTTAATGCCTCGTGTCTGTCTCCTTTATAAAAAATGGGACTACATTTGCCATCTTCCATACCTCAGGGAGTTGCCCAGTTTCAATGGATGTGTTGAAGATCTTTGTTAGTGTCACACACAGCATCTCTGCTCCCTCTCTAAGGACCCACGGAGAGATGTCTGGTTCCACCGCCTTTGAGGTATCAAGTTCACATAGCAGCTTCTTCACCTTCTCCTCGGTTATGTGTACCTCATCCAGCACTTGTTGGTGTACCTCCCTGTTCTGATTTCCTGGAGTCCTACTGGTTTCCACTGTAAATACTTCTTTAAATCTCGTGTTGAGCTCCTCACATATACCTCTTGGTCGTTTCTTGTGAACTCCCCATCATCCTTCCTCAGTCTGTTTACCTGGTCCTTGACTGTTGCTTTCCTCCTGATGTGGCTATACAGCAGCTTCGGGTCAGACTTGACTTTCGATGCTATGTCATTTTCGTATTGTCGCTGGGCCTCCCTTCTTATCTGTGCATATTCGTTTCTGGCTCTTCGGCTGATCTCTTTATTTTCCTGGGTCCTTTGTCTTCTGCACATTTTCCATTCTCTAGTACACCTAGTTTTTGCCTCCCTATACCTTTGGGTGAACGAAGGACTCGTTCTGGTCTTCCCATTATTTCTGTTTCCCTTGGGAACAAACCTCTCCTCTGCCTCTTTGCATTTTGTTGTCACATAGTCCATCATTTCTTTTACCGGTTTTCCTGCCAGTTCTCTCTCCCACAGAATGTCTTGCAGGAAGTTCCTCATGGCTGTGTAGTCCCCCCTTTTGTAGTTTGGTTTTTCCCATCTTATTTCTGCTACTCTCTCCACTTGTAGCTCAACTATGTAGTCAAAGCACAGAACCACATGATCACACACTAGTGTGTGTGTTTATAAATACATGCTTACACACATATACACTGTGTTGGCATCTCTGTATTTCTAACCTTCCCCGTACTTCACCCTCAGGTGGTGTGTTCGTGGTGTTGCTGTGTGGTCTGGCATTTGCAGTTCTCATTGCTATCCTGGAGTTCTGCTGGAACGCCAAAAGAAACGCCCAGATGGATCGGGTGAGCAATCAACGCAACTTTAAAAATTACTTAGAAAGCCCATGAGTTTTTCCCTCAGATAAGTTACTTTCTCCTCCAAGGATAGTTGTTCATTGTAACATCAATGGCTGAACCATATTCATATATATGTCTCGCCGAATAGGTAAAACTTGCGAGTTTGGTTTAAATAGCAACGCTCTTCTTACCGAGTAAGGAAAGTGAAAATTTGTGTATGCAGTAATTTCGAAAATATCATTCCGAACCTAACGAAAAAATATATTTCATTGTGTTTGTTTATTATTAAATTATTGTAAACGTATCTAAAATCTATTTAATTGAATTAGGCTAAATTAAATTACGCTTGTTATAATAAGGTTAGGTAAGTTTTCTAAGGTTCTTTTGGTATAAAATTATTAAATTTTACATTAACATAAATGAAAAACATATATCTTTAAACGTATAAGAGAAAATTTTAGAAAGGACTTACTTTAAAATGTGGTCTTATTATATGACCAGTTTTACCTATTCAGCACTATATACATTTAAACACGTCGGACATCTCCCACCGTGGCAGGGTGAGCCAAAAAAAGAAAAAAACACCTTCACCATCATTCACACATAATCACTGTCCTTGCAGAGGTGCTCAGATACGACAGTTTATATCCTAAACCCATTCTTTAAAATGTAGGCATTGTAGTTCCCACCTCCAGGACTCAAGTCCGGCTAACCGGTTTCCCTGAATCCATTTCCCTCACACTAACAGCTGGTCATGTCCCAAAACATATTCGTCTCCTATCTAACACACACATATATGCCTGCAGGCATGTGTGAGCGAGTGAGGTTGTGTGTGAGGTTTTGTGTACAAACCCCTTGCACACAAAACCTCTTTTACCCCCTCAATCCTTTCCTAGGACGACCCCTAACCCCTCTTCCCCATCACTACAGATTTATACATCCTCCAAGTCATCCTATTTTGCTCCATCCTCTGTAAATAACCAAACCACCGCAACAACCTCTCCTCAGCCCTCTGAATATTACTTTTACTAACTCCACCAATGCTATGCATCATCATCAAAGAGCAACTGTGAAAACTTCAAATCTACAGATATATTAAATGTTAAGACCTTCGTCCCAGTACTCTGGTGTTAATTTTTTCTACACTTTTCATCTTGAAACTCATGAAACATCTATAAAGCATCACACGTTCTTCCCTAATGCCAATTTTTTTTTGGAAAATATTCCACTAAACAAGTTGCCATTATATAAGTATTCCTGACAAAAGTTAATAATTTTCTCGCCATAGAACCCATTTAGTCTGTCATATTTTAGGACATTTGAAATATATACATGTATATACCATATCTGACACATTTTATCACATTTTCACTATGGATATCGCGCTATCTGTCACGATTTATCGAATTTTCGCTATAGATACCACACCATTTACTACAGTTTTGAGTTTGGTCTCTTTTTCAGGCTTGCAGTATGCATTTAGGTGAAGGACCTTTCAAAGTAAGAGAAGCAATGTTGTGGTGATTTTATTAATTATCTTTCCTTACTTCCCTCTCTATTCTGTATTTTTTTATAGATTAGATACGGTACGGATTTATATGATATCATAATATATATATATATATATATATATATTATATATATATATATATATATATATATATATATATATATATATATATATATTGTGCATGTGTTTTTACTTCATAGTAAAATTACACACACAAAATAAATAAATGGAATGAAATTGGCAATAATAAATTAGTTACAATCAGTTACTGATTATATCTCACTGTTTATCTTTGTTATATTTTAGTTAGGAGAGTAATGTTGATTTTCGTTAGTTTTAGATATCAGTCATTAGTTTTTTTTATAGTGTTCTGGTGTCGAATATTTTAATTTTGTTATTCTTTCATGTCATTTTGTATGTCTTTTTTGTGTGTCTATTTTGACTCGTTACAATTATTTTTTCCATTTTTGTTTTGTTTAACACTGTTTTGTTATTTGTTTTTCTTACTGTCTTGTGGTTTTCCCTCTTCGTCTCTCTCAAGTATATTTTGGTTTCCTTTGTGACCATTTTGCATCTGATTTTCCTTGACTATTGAAAATTCTTATACTACTTAAGAATTATAAGTATGTGAATTATAATGTTAACATTTAACATAGACTAAATGATAACTGTGGTACACTGAATAGAGAGATAAACTAACGAATGACTGTGCGAATTAAAGGTTAATAAAACAACGTATCAGAAAATAATATATTGTAGGCAGACTTTCATCCAAGACAAACATTTTCATGCTTATAGAAGCTACAATATTTTCCTGGGTTATGTTTCCCGTCATAGCGGGAAGAAGGTGGAAGTGAAGGACTGAATGGTGGTGGGTTGACGAGGTGAAGCACAGGAGTACCTGGAACTGTTTCCATCTTGTTCCCTCCACTCAGTAAGAGTTTTTCTTGTGAGGAAGTAACATTAAATTTCCTCTGGTTCTGCTTCACGGTGTCGCAATATTTTGTTTGGCTGACGTCTTTAGTTCTGAATTCTCTATACGTTTTCTTTTTTAATGATTAACATAACACACATGTACATAAAATGAAAAAAAGAAATAACAGAAATGTATGGATGGATTTTGTATTTCGAGATTGTCAAAATGCCATTGACACGGCCCCTCACAAGAGGATAACTTGAAATTAAGAAAAAATAAAGTTGGAATAAGTGGAAAAAGTATCTAATAAACAGATGGCGGATAGTAACAGTTATATAAAACTGTCATAGATGAGGGATGTAACAAGTGGAGAACTGCAAGGATGTATTCTCGGATTCATACTGTTCCAAATGATGCATAAATGGCCTAGAGGGAAATTAGGGAGTTACATGTCATTGCATCCGGATGACTCAAAATTTACTAACAATAACAAGGACAGAAGATATCTACAAAATGCTACAGGAAGAATTAGATGAACTACAGACATGGTCAAGAAAATAGTGTGTATAATGTTCAACCTCAGCAAATGCAAGGTTGTGAAAATGCACACACGCACACACACACACACACACACACACACACACACACACACACACACACACACACACACACACACACACACACACACACACACACACACACACACACACACATACACGTCCTTTCTTTTGATTACAGTTTCTCACTGCCTCTGCCTCTCTCAATGCCCCTATCACTCACTCACCAATTCTCTCCCTACAGCAATCCCTCTGTGCGGAGATGGCGGAGGAGCTGTGCTTCGCCATGAGATGCCGGGGTTCCAGGCAGCGTCCGGCACTCAAACGGCAGTGTTCCAGATGTGTGCCAGGTGCCACGTACGTTCCAGCGGGGCTGGAAGTACCTCACATCAACGGTAACGGAGTAGGTTACTCCCCAGTCCCTGTGCGGTAGAAACTAGGTGGGCTGGTAGAGAGATAAGAAAGTAGGTAGAGGGAATAGCAGGTGAATTGGATGGGAGATAGGTGAAATGAGAGATAATTTATCTGCCACTTGGGATAGATAATTGGATTCGTAGATATAATATTTATCCATTCCGGTAGATAGACAGGATGGTAGACTATCAAGAGTCACTAGAGATGAGTGAATAGGAAGTCTAACTTAATTTTTGGTTTAGTGATTAGAGGATTATTCTAAAGTGGATATATAGTTTCTTCTTCTTCTTCTTCTTCTTCTTCTTCTTCTTCTTCTTCTTCTTCTTCTTCTTCTTCTTCTTCTTCTTCTTCTTCTTCTTCTTCTTCTTCTTCTTCTTATTATTATTATTATTATTATTATTATTAATATTATTATTATTATCATTTTATTATTATTATTATTATTTTTATATATTTGGGGAAGTGCCAAGCCCAGAGAAGTTATAACAATTCCTCAAAAATAAAAAAAAAATACTGGCTAAAGAATTGTATACAAAATTAAACTTTATGATAGAGGTATATAAAGGTGGACTCTACTAGCCGGTGCTAGTACATAGTTAGCTACATAAATTTGCTATTCTTCTGTTACATAGAAAGAACGGTGGAGCAAGAGTGGCCGGGGAAATAGGTGAATTACTCATTGCAATTGATCAAGTAAATGTGCTCTTGTTGATTAATTAGACACATGTACAACACTTAGGAATCTTTAATGAGGAAACGTTTCGCCACACAGTGGCTTCATCAGTCCATACAAAGGAGAATGACTGATGGACTGATTACATCGAGTCATGGCTGAGGGACTGATTACCTCAAACTCCTCCTGTTCTTCACCATTCTCCTTTGTATGGACTGATGAAGCTACTGTGTGGCGAAACGTTTCCTCAATAAAGATACCCAAGTGTTGCACATGTGTCTAATTTATCAACTTGTCGGTTCTCTGAACCATTCAACTACATTAATAAATGTGTTCATGACAGAAGATTATATGGAGTGTTCTATCTTGGAGAAGTTAAAAAGATAGGTAGGAGGTAGACAAATTTGCTTGTAGCTGATAGTAATATAGAAAATGTTAGAGTAGATAGTTAAATAGTTGAACACACCCGTAACATATATATATTCACTGCATTCCTGCGTAGATGGTGCAAATAAGCACCAGAGAGAAAGAGAGAGAGAGAGAGAGAGAGAGAGAGAGAGAGAGAGAGAGAGAGAGAGAGAGAGAGAGAGAGAGAGAGAGAGAGAGAGAGAGAGAGAGAGAGAGAGAGGCGAAGGTAATCAATTTAATCTATATTTCTTAACAAAACTGGTGGTAGTGAACTCAAATATTAATGAGACCATAATTTCAGAGGGAGCGAAGAGGTTTACTGCACCAGTAAGACTTAATGACTAACTTTTCTGCAGTCTAAAGACAAAACATAATCTAATATATTTCCTGATTATCACTGGCACTCAACGTGCTTTTCATGTTGAAAATAAATGCAAATTTAATTTCACATTGACGTTAGGTTGTTCAATAGTTTTTTCTTTACTGTTAGGGTGAAAAGTTTGCTTAAGTTCGTTAGTTGCGTGTGTGTGTGTGTGTGTGTGTGTGTGTGTGTGTGTGTGTGTGTGTGTGTGTGTGTGTGTGTGTGTGTGTGTGTGTGTGTGTGTGTGTGAGTGTGTGTGAGTGTGTGTTCCAACACTGTACTGTCTCTCACCGTGTTCTCTCTGTAGGAGAGTGGCCAGAGAGGGATGAATGACCTTCAGCAGCGGAAGTCTTCCCTGAAGACTTCCCTACACAATCTGGTACCTCCATACGACTCAAAACACTCTCTAAACACCCACTGCTGAGTCACCAACCAGAGTGCTTGGTGAGCAGACAGTTAGCAAAGAAAGAGTACCAATCCTGAATGACGAACAGACAACGAAAGTAGGAACCAGAGTTCTTGGTAAGAGGAAAGTTAGTGAAGAACGACACGAGAAGACAGCAAAGAGAGAGCATCGAAAATACTTTCGCTGATGCTGACAGCTGACGAAGAGATGACGAGCTCTAAGTAAAGAACACACTGACAGCGAAACGAGAAATGAATGTGTTCACTGGACTTAATATTCAATAGACATCGAAGAAAGAGTGCCATAGTTGCAGTCGTTTGAAATGAACATTCTGCGAATTGACGAACGAGAGTGTTTCGCGAGTACAGAGGAGTACCAAACCTGAAGTGTAAAGAGTGTGTCGAATTAAAATGGTTACAGCACCTGTTACACGAACCTAGATAGCTATAAGTTACCCCTGCGAGATAGGGATGGAAGCTCCATCACCAGTTCGCTAATCGCGGTCAGATATCCAACGAGTCTGGCTGTTGGTGATTGCCTTAGTGCCAAAGGACTTTGATGGCTGACTGACGCATGAACATGAAACTGATGGGTAAATACTCATTAGTGCGTTGAAGAGAGCCAAAGAGCCGTCTTGCATAAAATGCAAACTTTTGGTACCATTCCGCTCAGCGGAGACACATTTCTTTTCCGAAAGTGATATACCTAAATCAGTATTTTTGACGTGTATCTTAAGTGTTCTTTGGTGGGCAGGGGAGGGAATCATGTCTCCACTCGTCCCACCCTCCACCTCTTCCATAGCATTGCGATCTATATAAACTTCATACAGACATAACAGCGTCGTGACAAAAAAAAAAAAAAAGAGACTCTGTATATCAAGCTTCAGTTGGAAAAAACTTTTGCTCTGTTTAGAGCTTGATCATGATTTGATAAAGATCTACACAGAGCAAAAGTTGTCCAAGTAAAAGCTCCGTTTTTCATCCACCATGTCTCTTTTCTTCATTGTTCTCGTCAGTACTTCGTTTGGCTCTAAGTCTGCAGCTTCGTATACACTCCAGCTGACTCTCAACGTGCTGTGAAAAGACATTTTTACGGTGCATCTCTATAACATAGTATAAGCGTGTGTCTCAGCGTCCAGGTCTCAGCTTCTGCATAAAGTCCGAGAATCTGGCACGCCCGAGACCGTCTTCAACAGCTCACAATGCAGCTATTACCCAGAGTTAACAGTAGTTTATGTCCACTCATACACACACACACACACACACCACACACACACACACACACACACACACACACACACACACACACACACACACACACACACACACACACAACATATATTTATATATATATATATATATATATATATATATATATATATATATATATATATATATATATATATATATATATATATATATATGGAAATCAACAACAGGGGAAGTCGAATGACAACTCTAGGCTTTTCGTGTTGCAGTCAACAAATCATCAGTAGCTTGCGATTCTAGAATCGTTCTTCTGAACAATACTGCTTCGGCTATCCACTCATTTCTGCAACATTGCAAGCTTTTGAAGATGTGTTGATTGCAACACAAAACACCTAGAGCTATAATTCAATTCCCAATTCTATCGTTTCTTCGCTATTATATATATATATATATATATATATATATATATATATATATATATATATATATATATATATATATATATATATATATATAATTTATTTTAACATTTCCATTTTTAATATGCAAAGGAACCTTATGATGTTGATAGTACATTAGCAGAGCAAGGTAGTTCGAAGTTTTTAATTTGAGTTGATGTCATTGGTGTTGTGGTGAGTTGAGGCAGTGGATCCCCCAAAAATTTAAAACTAATCATATATAAAAAATCATTATTCTTATTTGGAAATTCTCAGAAGAATTGAATTAGATGTTTCGAGTTCAGGAAGATTTTTCAAGTAATTGGTTTTAAATATGCAAATTTGGCTATGCATTATGTATTTCTATAATACGTATTCAGTATATATGTATATATATATATATATATATATATATATATATATATATATATATATATATATATATATATATATAATATATATATATATATATATATATATATATAGGTAAAACATTATTTTCTCTTAGTATATGCCTACGCTATAATTTGATCATGTACAGTGATAGAAAAATTGTTGGAAATATTTTTGTGGCTCTGAAGTGAAGTTTTCTAGTGTAAACATCAATTGTTTTACTTGTAAAAATGTAAATAATTATTGACAGATATCATTGTTTACCAAAAGTATTGCTGTTGTTTTCATTATCCTCATTCATATATTATGATTAGGTTAGATGAAAAAAATAGGAGCATAAAAACCGAGGAGCACTGCTGTAGGCCTACTGGCCTTCACTAAGCATATTTATCAACTTATCGGCATTGAATACCATTAACAATATGATACTTGTCAGACGATATGATGCTTGTCATCATATAATCTTGGTACGGAGGATATCTTCAACCTGTTTGCTACTCTCATGCTCACTAGCGGACCCCGCCCTTCAACGACGTAACCTTCAACTGCTGCACCAAATCTGACTCCTGTCTAGGCTTTACAGACATAAGTACTAACGTGATGCATACCTACATCTAAGCCTCGTTTTCTACTGTCTCCAGTTTCAAAACTTATCAATAACCTCTATGTAGATAACTCCACTGGTTGACAAAAACGTCTTAGAATAAAGAAACCCAGTTGCTGCACATATATCTTATTCATCAGCTTGTCGATATTATATCGCATTAAAGCTATAATATTAGTTAATATTAAATTTTCCAGTTAAAAGTTTGACACTAAAGTTTTGCTAATGAGTTGTTATTTGTTGAAACTGTGTGTTCACACACCTTTTCTCGTTAGGGTTAACAACAGTGTTGTGAGCCAGGTAAATGTATGGTCTGCCTGTGTTGGCCAGTAAATATCCCTGTTCATTAATAACATGGATCGGAAGACCTCATACATTGTACCATATAACTCTCACTTTCTCTATCATTTCTACCTTGAAACTGTGAGGTGTCACCTCACTTGTGCAATACATGAGTGAGGTATCACCTGACTTAGAAAGGTATAAGTTATGCTTCTCTTACTTCTGCTTCCTCTCCATCAAAACTCTCAGCTTTTCTTGTTTATTTTCTCCCTGTGGCATTTTCTTTTTTAATATTTACTGGCACGCGTTTTATTCTGAGTTCTTTTAATTATACTTACATGAACATAGAAACGCACACACAAACATAAACACACACACGTTTATATATATATATATATATATATATATATATATATATATATATATATATATATATATATATATATATATATATTAACAAGACAGTGAGAGAGAGAGAGATAGAGAGAGAGAGAGAGAGAGAGAGTACGCTCACACCTTGAGTATGCTTTCTTGGTTTGCCTGCCCCCCTCTCATCTGCGACTGCTTGACGTCTCATCTCTCGCCTGGACCCATCCTGGATAGATCTGTCATTTCAGCAGAGCCTTCAACATAGGACGGATCTGGGTGGCCTTACTGTTATGTACAAGGCCAATATTGTCAAAGTACAACCCTTGGATCCACTTCGAGGACAGCGTGAAACAAGCTTTTATGCCACAAGACGGGCAGAAAGCAGCAACTTCACTCTGGCTGTACCCTTCTCCAGAACATCACTCCATCTGAGATCATACATACCCAGGATGACTCGAGTATGGAACACATTCGTACAGAATAATGATGTCAACGAGATAAAGTCAGTTGATCAAATGAAAATGTTGGCCCACAGATGGCTCCAACTTCATCTTGTACCCTACTTGTATGTCTCATAACAATAAAAATGCTTTCAAATGAGCTGATGTAGGTAACAGCTCTTAGCTTGTCAATAAAGTTAGGAATCCTTAACCTGTAAATAGCTTGTCAATAAAACTAGGGATCCTTAACCTTGTCAAACCCTGTGTAAAAAAAATAGAGGGAGAGAGAGAGAGAGAGAGAGAGAGAGAGAGAGAGAGAGAGAGAGAGAGAGAGAGAGAGAGAGAGAGAGAGAGAGAGAGTGAGAATAAGGTGGTGCAACTTCACACCACCTTCGTGAATTTCATGAAGTGGCTGCTGTGGGAGGAGAGGACGCCACTCTCTGGTTTCCGCCACACTCAGTCAGATGTAGGAAAACTCTGTTTTATGGAGCTCTATCTTTTGAGGTCTTGCTCTGGAATCTGCATAAGAAGTCTTCTGGTGCACAAATAACGGAAGAGGAATGAGTTTTAGTACAAATTTTATTGCGGGTTTATCGCGAGTTGTATGTGAAAACTAGAGAGAAAGATGGATCATAGAAGTTACCTAAAAGAGAAAGATAAGATGTGAAACACATTTATAACAAAGATAATAGTCGGATGAATCATAATTGAGAGAAATGGTTGATGGATAACACCTGAGAGAAAAATGGCGGATATAATGAACCTAAAATGGAGATGGTAGATGCATTCAACTTGAGATAAAGATGAGAACATTATTGACTTAAGCAAATATTGGGAGAAAGATTGGAGATAGGACAAACTTGATTGTACATGAAAAAATAAAATAAAATAATAGAAAAAAGATAGAAAACAAAACACATCTGAGAGGAAAATGATAAATGGAACTTGATGCATATAAGGGAGACATGAGAGATGGAAAAACACAAGTGGGAGATAAAGAATATTGGAAATACAATAAGGAGACATGGCACATGGAACAAAAGTAACATCACCAAACTAAGAGTCACTATTTTTACAAGCAAAAAAAAAAAAAAAAAAATAACGAAAAGATAAAACATGAAACCAAACAATTTCCGAGATATTCAGACAAGAAATCACAAGATACACGTCTAGATAAACAGGAAGTGAAAACTGATAAATTCTTTAATTCCGGAGCTCTGCAGGAGGCGCTGGTTGACAGAAGTTTTTGAATGTCTGTCGTGGTTAATACAAGACTGATACCCAGAGTTTGTCGATCGATCCTCAACTGGTCTCTGTAAGTTTTTATTCCTCGTCAGTCTAAAGTAATTTTTACCGGCGTTATGCTGGTCGCGATTAGCAAAGGGGTGCCAGACCTCCGTCACTCCTCGTGTTGAGTTACTTACTGGTAATTAGTGCTTAGTGAAATATGTTATTATCCATCATTTTATGTCACTTTTTCGCTGTTCTGTTTCCTAGTTTTTCATGATTCATCTTTACTATATTGGTTGTATATGTTGTTTCTCGCAGTTTTAGTATTTGCTTCTTTATTCATCAGATACATTTGCTTCAGTCATTATTAAGCATTTAATTTTAGTTTTACTTTATTTCATGAGAAAATCTCCAGAGATTGAGAGTCACGTCTTGAATATATGACCAACAAAGTTTCCAATGCTGTCCTTGCATACCCATGAACTTTTTTCCTGCCTGCTTTGGTCTTCTGGTTTCAAGGGCATCTATGCCTGTTGTGTTGTGTTTGGTTTCCCTGATGATTCTATTCATTTTTCGCTTTGCTCCTTTTTTTCTATTTTTGTAGCCTTTGGGTCTCTTCGTTGCCTTTGGTTCGGTTTTTCCCAGTTTGGTTCTTTTCCCCTGCTCTTGGCCTTTGCGAAGCCCCTGTATTTCACTTTCCCTCGGACCCCCCCTGTGGCCAAATTTGTTGTGTGGGTAAAAAGGCTTTCAGGACCAAGGAAAACACAGGGGGAAAGCAGGGGCTAATTTGATTATTTGGTTTCCCATCAATATCAGGGTGATTGCCTCCTTTCCCTCTTTGCTTCCTTTTCCCTTCCCTTTTCCCCCTTTTCCCTTCCCCCTACAATTTATTTCATCATCTGTTCTTATTTCTTTTTTCCTGTCCTTTTCCCTCGTCTCTTCTCCTCCTCTCATCCTCGCACTCTCGTTAGGTTGAGCGTGGACATTATGAAACTAACCATTTCCCCTTAAAAAAGTTAAATCGTTTTTCCTTGATTTTTGCGAAAACGAAATTTATACTTTAAAATCTTCTTTATGGGCCTTGAGGACGCCAGAGGCGAGAGATCAAGTAATGTAATAACCGCATAATTGTTTCTAACATTCTCGCAAAATGTGTAAAAAATCACCAGGGGGGGGTGTGCTGTTTCCTGAGGGGAAAGGGGTTTTGTAATGCACCACTTTCACCACCCCCCCAAACTCACTGCTACCATACTAGCCCCAACTCATTAAACCTGGACTACATCGTTAGCACCACAA